TTTATACTTTTGATGGGAACAGACTCAAAGTAAAATGCATTTTCTCAGAATATAAAATTCTCCCAGGATTTGACCAAATGAGGAATAAAAAGAAACTTTTGCAACCACGCATACCAAAATCTTAGTCTCTGCGGGCATCTCGGTAGGTGACTTTTGGTCTTCCTCAGAGTTCTGGGCTCTTCTTGACTCTCTTTCCCACTCTGCACACTTTCCCTGGGTGATATCAGTCGCTCCAAATGCTTCAACTCGTACAGAGGCCCGGCAACTCCCAGCCTCTCACATCTCACCCAAGTTACAATTCCCTGTGTCTAACTACTCACTAGAATGGCCACCATCTCCCTACAGCCACATTAATCTCAACTTCTCTACATTTCCCCAAGCCTTGTTCCTTCTTCTTGAATCTCAGTATTGGAATGAAATGAGTAACATACAGTTCCTGCTCTTAAGAAGCTTGTAATTCAGCAAAGGAATTCAGAAAAGTAAATAGGCAGTGACAATACAGGTTAATAAGTTCTGTGCATGGAGAAGCCCAGAGGCTCATACAGAGAAGAAACCTGGATCAAGGAATCAGCCTAAAGGAAGGGACATCTTTGTTGGGTTTGAGTCAGATAACTAAAGGGTGGGTGTGTGCATGCGGCTTTGCTGTTTAGTGCTGAGGACCTCCAAGGAGGAACAGAAGGAGCCCCATGGGTAGAGGGGATATGGAGCAGGGCTTGGAATGAGTGGTCAGAAGGGCTGGGAAGAGAGATGAAGCCCAGCCACAGGGACTAGATGAGAATAGGACTTTTGTAAGTACCTGCTGTTTGACCTCACAGAGTCTGAAGCCCAAAGAGCATGATATAGAGGGTTGGCCAAGCTCAACTGTTTCATGAAACTCTTCACATGACCATGACCTGGCTCTAGGGAAACACACCAAAGTCTCAGCTGTCTGTGGTTGTTCTGTGAGATGATAAAATGGGTCTCAGGGAAATTAATTTGGGATTGCATTTCATAATCTCACAGGGCAATTGTCCTCTCTATACAAGATCACCTTGAGTCCTTTCAACCACTCTGCCAGTAAGACAGACCATGGACTTCAGAGGCAGATGGGGGAATCTTCAAAACCTGGTCAAGTTACTTAACCTCCTGTTTCTCAGTCATCCTTATGTGTAAAAAAAAAAAAAAAAAAGGTGAAATAGCTATAAACCCTCTTCTGAATCCTTCTGAAAACAGGAGAATTTGACAAGTTTGCCAAATCTGACCTAACTGACATTTAGCTATTTACAATCTGTACCTATCCTTTTAGTATGAATAAGGTATCATTTTGCTGTAGAATATTGATGTGTTTGATTATAGGGGAATTGATGCTTTATCTCAACTATCTAATATCTGAAAAATTCTGAATTTCAAAAATACATCTAGCCTAAGGGTTTTGCATGAGGAATTTGAAGACCTGTCATGTATGTAAAGCATACATTATATAAGGTAATGTATATAACACGCCTCTTTAGTACAGTCACTGGCAAATTGTAAGGGTTCAGAGATGATAATTATTAAAAAGAGGGAATGAGCTGCCTTTGACTTCATGAAACATCGAGGAGTGAAGGAAACTGAAACATCATATAGGAAATACATGTTTTCTCTCTCTGGGCCCGCAAATTTTTGCAATTGTAGTTTTCAAAAATTGGGGGGCAATTACTTTCCAAAGCATGATTATGCCTTTAAATCATAGGGTTTGCCACTGTGCTCCTATTCACAGTAGGAAGAAGAAAATTCAGAGTATTCATTATAGATGCAAGCAAAAGCTGGTTATGGGTGACTCTGGCCAAGGAAACAGCATAGGCAGAGGCTTGGTAGAGTGGGAAGAGGAGTTTCAGACAAAAAGAATAACCATCCAAAGTCTGGAACCCAGAAAGTACGACACGAAGTGATGACAAATGAAGCCAGGAGAGTTTAGGGGAAAGATTAGGAAGACCCTTGAATACCCAATTTGTATTTGATCCTGTAGATCAGTGGTTTTCAGACTTTTTTAGCTAGAGAACTTCATTGAGATGAAATTTGATTTGCATAGGAACTCTGTCCACTGCAGCTACACACCGACTTATGTTTACTATGTCCCAAGTGCTCTTTTAAAAGAACAGATCTGATCGTCTCGGTCTTCCAGGCACACTTTTCAAAGAGATTGCATTAAACTTGGAGTGCAATGCCTTCTCCATGCCGGCTGTGGCTAATGTGGCCTTGCCCACCTCCCCAGCTCATCTCATACAAGCCGAGCAGCCCTTCTCTATAATACTTGGGACCCAGAAGTGATTTGGGATTTTTTTTTTCAGATTTTGGAATATTTGAATATACATGTGACATCTTAAGGATAGGACCTAAGTCTAAACATGAAATTGATTTATATTTCATAAACGCTTTATAGCCTGAAGGTAATTTTCTACACTGTTTTTAATAATGTTGTGCATCAAACAAGTTTGTGTATATTGAACCATCAAAAAGCAAGGATATCACTATTTCAGCCACTATGTGGACAGTCTATAGTTGTTTGTCATCACCATCGTTCCTAACTCTGAATTTATATGCTACCAATAAGCATCTTAGCTTGTCACTTGAAGTCAGGATTGCCATTTCCCACTTCCGCTGTCATGTCAGAACTCAGAAAGTTTCAGATTTTGGAGTGTTTTAGATTTCACATTTTTGGATTAGAGATGCTCAATGGTTCACCATTTGTAGGTCCTCCAGTGAGCTCCTATCCCTCCCCACCTCAATTTGTTTTTGTTTTTGTTTTGCAGTTTTTAGCCAGGGCTGGGTTTGAACCCGCCACCTCCAGCATATGGGGCTGGTGTCCTACTCCTTTGAGCCACAGATGCTGCCCAGTATTTTTTTTTTAAGAGACATAGTCTCACTCTGTTGCCCTGGGTTGAGTGCCGTGGCATCATAGCTCACACAGCAACTTCAAGCTCTTGGGCTCGAGAGATCCTCTTGCCTCAGCCTCCCGAGTAGCTGGAACTACAGGCCCCTTCCCAACACCTGGCTAACTCTTCTGTTTTTAGTAGAGAGGGGATCCCTCTTACTCAGCTGGTCTCTAACTTCTGAGGTCCAGGGATCCTCCCACCTCAGCCTCCTCGCGTTCTAGGGTCACAAGCATGAATTACCAGGCCCAGCCCACCTCAAGGATTTTATAAGTGCTGCCTTCTCCTTTTCTTCTCCCTCCCACTTGCCTCGTTAGCACTTAGTCAGCTCTCTCAGATCTCAATCAGCCACCCTTTCTGGAGGGGGTCTTTCCCAGGTTGGTCAGGGCTCCCTATACTATGCTCTCCTGCACTCTGAGAACTTCTCCCTTGTAGCACCTGATCACCGTTGTTAGTACAACATTGTTGGATGGGCTTAGGTGTTTGGTGCTCTCCCCTATTATGCTGTCAACTTTGAGAGAGGGAAGTGTGGCCCTACCTGTTTTGTTCATGACAATGTCCCTAGCACCTTCCTCAGAGACAGCCACTAAGCAGGCCCCCAACAACTATTTGTTGAAAATGCACCAGTAAGTACAATAGGAAGACAAATGGGGGAGGAGGCTTCTTTGCTTGAAATAAGGATGGAACTTTGGAGCAGGAATGTGGGGCCTAGATACTTCCCACCAAGCCCCTACCCCTGGCCTCCCATAAAGGTCCCAGAGGCACAGAGTGGGAGATTCTCTGAAAAGCAAAGTAATGAGATGCTCTAACAAAAGGCTTTGTTATTTGTCCTTGAGTGAGGAATGAGTGTTATTCTTTTGGCCTGGGGAAATTATTCTGCTTAATGGTCAACAGAATGACTAAATGATCAAAGTAGCTTTGGGTAGGCAGGAAGCATAGTTCATTGATTTATTTCAACATCTCATCTCTCTTGGGTAGGGAAAGACTGTAAAAGCCATCTGTAGACTGGTCTGAATTGCATTATTTTGTGTAAGACTAGATGTCAAGTAGATGTTTCTTTGGAAAGTCATTCTGGCCTAGACCCAAACCATCAAGAAAATCGCCTCTATGCTCCACGGATCCATCACGCATGGCCCCATTCCTGGGTTGAAGTCACAAGATACAGCCCAGATTGTGTGACTGTAACACTTGGTCAGTGTGGTCAGCTGTAACAGGCTCAAGGGATCCCCTTCTCTGTTAAGGCAAATCGAAGTGAAAATTACATTTTGACTGAGTAGCATTGCTGAAGAAAATCAATAGAAGTGGCCCAAGATCTACCAGCATTGTCTCATCTTAAGTGTTATAGACTTTCAAATTCCTGGAACACTGGTTCCGGGATTCAACTTCAAGTCCCGCTGAAAATAAACAACGGAGTGGGTTAAAGGGGAAGTAACATGTCTCTACAATCATAGATTAAAGAGAAAATATGTGCTGGCCAAACGTAAATCATTTTTCAACCTCAAAATCATTCTTTCCAAATTCTAAGATCCTGTGTTTGACAAGTTTAAGAGAGAGATATAACAGCTGACGTTGTCTTTGTTCAGAATTTAGGAGACAGTTTTGTCTAGACTTTCAGGAAAGTTATAGAATGACATTTTCAGAGCAAATCAAAATATATTTTTAAATTCCTATTTCCCCTCCAGGAAGAAGATTTGACATGCTTCTATGATTTGAATTTGCTTGTTCTCTATAAATGGCCTCAACCGTTTAGTATAAAAAGTGGAGTAAAAGGAACCATTAAGAAAAGTTATTAAAATACTGTTAAGTTTACTTTCTTACCTTAATGGTAATATTACCACCAATAACAACCCAGTAATTAATTCTGAGTGGTTTCTAGGTATGTGCTAAACTCTTCGCATACATTTTCTGACTTAGTTCTCACAGCACCCACGTCAGGTATGGTAATAATAACACCCCAATTGTCTGATGAAGAAACTGAGGCACAGAGAGGTGGGGTGACTCACCCAGAGCCACACGACTACAGGTGGCTATGGGTGGTCAGGCGAGGCAAGGACCTAAACCTGCCCTCCTTCTGTCCTCACACTGTGCTTGTGTCTTCTTTCTCCACAGGGCCAGCATCGTACAAAAACGCATTATTTATTTTCAAGACGAGGGCTCTCTGACCAGGAAACTCTGTGAACAAGGTAAGACGGTGTGGGCGGAGGGGCCGATGATGGAAGGCAGCTCGTGCAGGACGAGAATCCTGCCGCAAGAATTAAGACCACGGGGCTTTCTGAGTTCCTCTGGGTCTAGCTTCCTTGCATAGCTCCGATTTTTAATCTCGCTGTGTGCTGTGGATAATTGGATCCGCCTTAAGCTCTAATTACTCAGCTTGATTCCCTAGGTAGGCGATAATGTGTCTTATATTGGTGTCGTCTTCTTATTTTTGTGAAACAGTGATTATTCTGAAGAGGTGCCTTGGAATAATTCACAGGACTTAATTAAGGAATGCACAATTGCATACCTTTAAAGCCTATAAGGGTTCTCTGGAAAAATCACTAGCAGGAAGTTGTGTGACGCCTTCTCCAGGGAAGACCAGCACGGGGCAGAAGTGCTAAGAAGACATTGACCTTTGACTTCTCATATCTAAGGATCTGTCCCTTAGACTTCCAAGCTCTTCCCCGTTCTCCTGAAGTTGAAGGCATAGCAAAGCTATGGAGATCTACTAGAGTAAGACAATTAAAGCAGGCCAGGCCCAGATTTGAAGCTGCCTCTGTTCTTTCTAGACATGTGACTTAAATACCTAACATAGTACAGTGCCTCCTTGACAAATAGTAAAATATGTAAGCATCAGCTTTTGTAATCTATATCCAAAAGTTTGCCCATTAATCTACTGTAAAAAAAATTAAGACCTTAAACATCTGAATGCATTTAGAAGTCGTTAAATAGCTAAATAAAAATAGAAAATGTTCTATTAATATAATTATACAGCTTAACTATATCAGTTCTATTTATGTCAGCAGAACTTTTATTTGCATTTAGAGCAATTAGTCTTATGAGAAGAAATAATCCTCTCCAACCATAGAAAATTATAAGCTATTAAGAAGAAGAAAGGCTGATAAAGGTCTTCTAGAAAAAATAATAACAGTGAATGTTTTTCGAGTGTTTTCTACATGCCAGCCACACTTCCCATGCATTAATCATGTGATATCCACAACAACCCTACATGGCAAGGATTATTATATTATCTTTATTTTATGGATGAGGAACCTGATGCACAAATAGTTCAAGCAGCTATCTCAGCACCATACAACTAATAGTAGTGGGCAGGGTTTCCAGCTAGGAGCCAGTGCCCTTAACCAATGCCTTTCCATCAAATCGACTGTCTCCTAATTCAGTAGCTTGCATCATTGCCTTTGGCAGATCAATGCATTGTCCTCCTATAGATGAACTTGAGCAGAAACTAGGTTCTCTGTGGAAACAGCAAAGGAGAGAGAGTTGGATGTCCTGCATTAGGGTCTTACCTCCCATAGCAGCTGGAGAGCTGAACCTGCCAGTCATAGCCTTGGCCAGCTGTGGGCACCACCACACCTGGCTTTGAGACTTTTCTCTCCTATGTCCAATTACCTGCAATTTCACCCAGGCTTTCTGCAAATAGGGTTCATCTCAAGTGACGAAGCTCCTGGTTCCTCACTGACTGTCTCGTTCCTGCCTTAATTCCATGAGATGACATCTAGGTGCCTTGGGTTGGTGTTATGAGGGCTCCAGACCACACATTTACAAGCCACCTCTTGGTCTGTCCTCACACATGGCTAATCACAGCTGCTGGGGTGTGGTTTGACTGTCAGAGGACAGCCTTAATTCCAGAATTTAAGGGTTCCTAGGAGACACTTCACTGATACCCCATGTACTAACAGCAGTTGTTACATAAAATGTACTTCCCCAATGCCTCAATCCTGGTGTTACGTGAAGCCTTGTCTAAGCTAAAGATATACTACAATTCTGTAGATACTTGTCAACAAAGGGGCATGGCAAATCTCTACTTGTGAGACAGAGATTTTATCAAGGTGATTTATTAGGGTTCTCATTACAAAGGCCACTTGCCAATGGCAACTTGGCAGGCAAAAAAAGACCTGGCCTGTAGGATCACTGTAGATTATCCCTAGAGACAAAAGACCTAGGAGGAATTCCACCAGTTACCAAAGTGGATTTGTTAAGAAAGTCTTTAAAATGTAAACAAAGTACAAAGGGATTTTTGAAATGTGTATATATCCTCAATGATATCTCTAGTCCTTCCATTAAGCTCTCTACAGCCTTTGTTTCCTTGTTGAGGCAAATTAAATCTGTCAAGGAAGGGGAGAGAAAAAGGTGTATCTATTATTTTTCTCCAATTAAAGCCATTAATCCATAGGGGAAAAATTAAGAGCTGCACAGATAAAAAGTAACGATGATCATTATGTTTTAAAAAACAACATGAACATTGTTACCTACAATAAAAAGCAGGGAAACAAAACATTCCAAAGGTGACCTATAATACACATGTACATGCACATGCCTTAATTTCATGTCACCAACAATTAAAGGCAAGGGACAAATAGAAGGGAAATTGAAGAAAAAAGAAAGGAAAATACGAACAGAGCAGGGATAATGAGAAAAGGCAGAAAATAGGGAAGCGGGACAAAGAATACAGGAAGAGAGCTGGAAGGAAGCCAGTGGGTTCAGAGCCGACGTGGGAAGAAAGGGCAGCTCAGGAGACGCTCCAGAGCCTAAAGTTCCCTGGGTTTGGCTGGCCCTGCTGTGGTGGGAAGGGGAGTAAGTGGACACTTATCACTATCCTTTGAAAGCCTGGTTCATTTTCAATAGGCTTTTCCTCAGTAGGAAAAGTACGTCTGTTTTTATTTTCAAACATGGACATTTCTTTTTGAAGTGGAAGCTTATTTTCCTTTGGAAATCCAAAAGGTTTAGTATAAGTGCATTCCTTTGACTCCTTGGAAGTATTTTAAGTTTACCACGTGTATCCGCAAGCCCTTTGATAAGGTAAAGCTACCACCAGACCTTCCTTTGGTTCTTGGAGAGATTATTGCTGCCTCATTTCACAGCCCCTGATAGTTAACAATTGAAACCCCAGCGTGTTTCTCTTAGCTCTGAATCCCTTTTTCAAAACTAGAGTTTTAAACAGTATAGTTGATCATGATGGGAATATAAAAAGAGGAATTCTTCAGGAGTTACGGACTTATGCCACCTTTCCTGAAATACAGGGACTGTCGAAAAGTATCCAGCCATGTACTATGAAAAATAGAGACTGAGTGGCCGGACAGCCCTTATATATTATTCAGTATGGCTTTTCTTTTGCAGGACTCAGATCTGGGCTTCATGCATATATACTACAGGGAGCTTGCTCCTAGGCACAGACTCTGCTTTGACCTCTTCCAAGTGTACAAAAAGTAATCAAGGGTGGTGCCCATAGCTCAGTGGATAGGGCGCCGGCCACATACACCAAGGCTGGAAGGTTTGAACCCAGCCTGAGCCAGCTAAAAAAACAACAGTGACAACTGCAACAACAACAAAAAATAGCTGGACGTTGTGGCAAGCGCCTGTAGTCTCAGTTACTTGGGAGGCTGAGGCAAGAGAATGGCTTAAGCCCAGCAGTTTGAGGTTGCTGTGAGCTGTGATGCTACAGCACTTTACCCAAAGCAACAGCTTGGGACTCTGTCTCAAAAAACAAAAAAGTAGTCAACAATTTTTACTTTGGGTGGGCACAACCCTGTGCCTTGGAGCTGTTTACAAATCCTGGAACTTTGTAGGAAGGCAGTTTTGTAAATGTATCATTCTTTGTTTGGAAAAGGCAAAACAGAAAACAAACAAAGACATTTTTCTCTCATTTGGCATTGATACAGACCTATCCGGAGGTCTTTCCTCAAGTTCCATGGTGCTCTGGACCCAAAAAGACCTGAGCTCCAGTTCTGCTCGCACTACTCACTACCCCTGAGAGCTTGAGCTGGTTACCTAAACTGCCTCAGTTTATTGATCTGTAAAATGGGGGTTAGCCAAAGTCCATACCTCCTAGGATTGTCAGGATTAAATGAGGCAATATATGGGACAGGATCACACATACAAGGACTCAAGACGTGTGGTTATTACAACAATGCCGCACCCTTGTGTCTCCATCCCGGAAGGCAGAATTCACTTCTATCGCTGACTTTGCATATCCAAGCCAAACGAACCCAGTGAATTCCTAAAGGAAGTCTTGTACAATGCTCTTCCTGATGCTCAGAACAATTTTTATACTCTTCACAGAATATTTGAGAATAAATGTCCAACTTGCAAAAAAAAAAAAAAGAACGTTTATGCTAATTCCACTAGGCAAACTGAAGATAAGCAATTGAAGTAAGTTGCATCTGTATCCTTGTTTTCATCTCGCAGGAAGCAGAACAGACTAAAAGCAACAATGTGCAGTTAGGGATGTGGGTTTGACAATCGGAAGTCTGAATTTATTCCTGTAATCTCTCTTTCCCTACTTATCAGCTATGCACAGCTAAAAATGGGGGCCAAGAGGGAATCTTAAGATATTCCTGGCTGCTTCTATACCCAGAAGTACAGTAAACCTGAACTTAGGAACATATTTCCACCCCCACCCCTCCCAGTAAAGTCTCTGAAAGTGTGATAAGAAGTGATGTGATTATATATGCATGTCTTTTTTTTTTTTTTTATTTCACCCTTACTTTATGTCTGTCTTCTTGTTCTCACTGCTCTGCTTCAAAGCTGCTCCTTCTGGTCCTGGCATTTTTGGTTTCAAAGCATTTTTCTTAAAGAAAACATACATGTGTATTCCTCTTAAAATGTGGTTGTGAAACCTTCTTGTAAGAGTTGGGGCAGGAAACTGGGGTCCAGAAAGGATGATGGAGTGAATTTTACTCAAGGTTTCCCAACATAGCCCCCATCTTAAATATTCTGCCCTGTTGGTCCCATAGAACTCCTCAAATTATTAGAGCAAAATCTCTGAATCTTTTTTTGTAATTTGAGAAATATTATTACCCTATTAGAGGTTTATAAAATCTTTTCTAGTTTAAATACCTGGCTAACTACCCACACGGTCCTGGGTACCATCTGAGTACTCATTGAAAACTGCACCTTCTTTTCCTAGGGGTTAAACCACTGTGGTGCTGCCTTACACATGGCTGACATTTGCTTTCTAACTTGGTGACTTTCCTTTTTCAGATTCCACCTTTGAAGGGGTGACTGACAAGCCAATCTTAGACTGCTGTGCCTGTGGAACTGCCAAATACAGGCTCACATTTTATGGGAATTGGTCTGAGAAGACACACCCCAAGGATTACCCTCGTGAGTAAAGTGTGACTACTTTGCGGGCTGGGAGGAACCACACCGCAAAAGTTCTGTCTGGTTGTGGGGCACCTTGGCAGTAGTGGGTCAGGTCTGTTCACTGCTATCAGTTGATTCAGCAATTGTACATTCACAGTACATTGTAAATTTGTTGAGATGGGCAGGCATAACAGGGCTATGCTTTTAGCCTCTTTGCATAGCATTGTTCTAAGGGTTTTCTAACCTGTGATTTAAAACAATTATCTTCAGGCCAGACATTTGGTAACCTCACTCCTCCTAATACAGCCCTATCCTTGAACTATACAACAGGCCTATTTGTGCTAGAAATAGCTGGCAAAAGGGATATGCTCTTGACTCCACTGATCAAGGTCAACAAATACTCAACCCCAGCAGGTGTTGATAATCAATCAGTATGCCCTTCCCTACTGAGTCTGGATCCCACCTCAGAATCCCTCATGACATGGTGCTCCAGGCAGCTGATACCAACCCATGAGAATTTTCAGGAGACGCCAAACTTGTTACTTTGAAGTAGATCTTTAATCAGGACCCTACTAACTCCCTTTGATCATAGAATTGCCTTCACAAATGCCTAATAAGTGCCAGGCAATGTGCTCAGCCTGGAGATACAATAGTGAACAAAAAAAGATGTCGCTCACATTCTCATGCCACTCAGGGGTGAGCAACTAATGGAATCATTACCCAAAACAATGTGAAAATTACAGCTATGAAGAGTGGACTTGCCATGTACCAGGCATATTTACATATGTAAAATATGTTATTTTGAGAATTAAATGGTAATTCTCAAAACAACATACTGTCATGTTTTTCTGGATGAGTGCACTAGGCATCAGGGAGATGTCACAATTCAACCACATTCAAACGTAAGTAATGGATGCAAGATTCAAAAAAGGGTTTGTACGGCTCCCTGTCCATTAGTTTGGATTCCAGTGTTGCCCATTCTCTCTGACTGTGGGTGGCAGGATGTCTGTGGGTGGCGCTGAGCGTGTTCATTCTGTTCATTGTCTGTTTTGTCCTTGTGCATGTCACTTCGGAGTTACCCCAGCTGGAAAAGAACAATAGGAATGGTAGAAAGAGATTAAAGAGAAGGATTTGGGTCAGGTCCCAAAGCCAAGGGGAGAGAAGGGTATATGGTCGGGTCTTTAGAAGACTCAGTCCAGACCAGAACCTCCGTGATCCCCAGACAGCCCACCCAGCGGGAACGCCAACATTTGTTGGCAGATCAAGAGCCCTATTGTTTAATTTTACCCACATGCAATCAAGGCTTGGGATCGTCCAAGCCTCTTACTAATTCATTCTTCTGACTCTGGGATACAGCCTGATCTGCTTCAGCTGGTGTGGGAGACCTGCGTGAACAAACATGGACTCTCTGGCTATGGGGGAAAAACCACTTGGAACAAGGATGGTGGAAAAAATTTCCTCCAGCACTTCCCATCCAGTAACTAGAGGAAATAAAATGTTAGGAGCTCATTACTCATCCTCTGTGATCCTAAGGAGCTTCTTGCCCTTTTCTGCTCTGCTGCTGTTATTTCCCAGAACTGGGAAGGAGGGGGGGAGGAGGGAGAACGTACAGAAACCATTGTGTTTGTGTCCTTGGGCCAAACAAGCCCAGATCTGTACAGAAGTTCTGTGGAGTTGTTGGGAGTTCTTTAAAAAATATAGCAGAGGTGTGTTCCAGATCTTCCAGGACTGTTTCACTGTCAGATATTATGTTACAGTGTGTCAGCTTGTGTCCCGATTTGGGGTTGGAACAATTTGGTCACTTAAGTACAAAATAACATTTATCACATCTTACTGCAATTGTTTCTTCAGGAGTCTTTCTTCCCCTGCCAGACTGAGAAGTCCTCCAGGATAAAAGCCATGACATGCTCCTCTTTGATTGCTAGTGCCTGGAAGTACTTGGTGCCTTCCCAAATGCTATGTGTTTGCTGAACTCACGAGTGGCATTCGCTCTGACCTGCGAGGCAGAGGACTCGCCTGTGCCTAGTCACGACAGCTAGTCCTGAGCAGGAGTATGGGCCAGACCTTCTGTGGAGGGAAAAGGGGAAACTAGTACATTCAGGGGACTGGAGCCATCTGGAGGGGTACAGAGAGGTACAGGGAGGGTCTAATCAAGGCCTTGAAAAGTCATTGCTCTCACAAGTGATTTCTACCCCTCTTAGGTCATAGATGAGTTTCCATTTGCTGCTGTCAGGATGATTCTGTCTTATCAACCCTTATCATCAAGCCCAGAGAAACTTCCTTACAAAAATGCAAACTGACAAATACCAAGTCCCTTACTCCTTTGCTAGTCATCCAAAACACCAGTTCTTCCACAGCATCCTAGGACAGTGGTCCTCAAGCTTTTTAGTCTCAGGACCCTTTGTGCGTAGTACTTCTGTTTATATGGATTATATCCAGCAGTGTTCACTGTATCAGAAATGAAAGCTGACAACTTTTATAATTTTATTTATTAATTTTTTAAAAAGCATAGTATATCCGGGCGTGGTGGCTTCCACCTGTAATCCTACCACTCTGGCCGAGGTGGGTGGTTTGCCTGAGCTCACAGGTCCGAGACCAGCCTGAGCCAGAGCAAGACCCATCTCTAAAAAATAGCCAGGTGTTGTGGTGGGCGCCTGTAGTCCCAGCAACTTGGGAGGCTCAGGCAACAGAATTGCTTGAGCCCAAGAGTTTGAGGTTACTGTGAGCTGTGATGCCACAGCACTCTACCAAGGGTGACAAAGTGAGCCTCTGTCTCCAAAAAAAAAAGGAAGCATAGTAAATTAAAAATGAACTCATTATAGGTTAACATAATTAACACATTTTATGAAATTAACTATGTTGTCCAAAACAAAAGAGGTTTAGTGAATAGTGCGTCGTTGTTTTATGTATTTGCAAATCTTTTTCCTGTCTGGCTCAATAGAAGACAGCTGGATCCTCATTCACCTTCGTTCCTATTGTGCTTTATTTTTTTGGTTGAAGTTTATGAAGAAAATTCTGTCTCATTTGGATATGTAATTGGAAAAGGGAAGCGTATTTAAATAACCTTTTTGGATAATTATAGATAATCTTCTTTTATCCTACACCCAAACTCTATGAATGGTAGTTTTTTAAAAGGTTAATTACAACGTGGAATATGGAACTACATCAACGAACTTGAACTTTATTATATTAAAATCCATTTCTTTACCTTCCACTTGAATGGATCTTTTACAAATCAGTAATTTTGTAACACTATACGTCGATTATTTAGAAAATAGTGGTTTACCAAGTTACGCAGATTATCCAAGTGTTGAGAAAGGTCATTAAACAATATCAAAAGTCAGGTCTGTTAATATCACTACCAGTCTCATCAGCAAAGTTGTTCCGTATCGGAAATCCATCCAGTTCATTGAAATGGATCCAAGTTTTCCAAAATTCTGAATTTTGCATGAAAGCTTGAATTTTGTCATTGGCAACAAATACTGGCAGTTGTTTTCCTTGAAGTGGCAGACTCACTTCATTTTTGAGAAAACGTGTGCCAGATTCCCAAGTTTGAATAACCATAATTTGTCTGTCATTTCTTCTTTCAAGTAAAAATGAGGTTTTACGAATGTAAAAAGCTGCTAGTCCACTTTGCACCTCAAAGAATCAGAGTCAGTGCTTTTATTCCAGATAATCACAGGACTCCAGTATAAAGCAGAAGCGCTTTTGCATGCTTCCCAAGTAGCCACACAGAATAATGAAAGGATGTGTACTCAGAGGTAGAGATTTAATAAAATTAATCATTCTATTATTTCCTCGAGGACATTCTTTGTTTTTATTTCAGATTAAAATGAGGGTACAAACCATTAGGTTATGTAATTTACACCTGAGAGGGTAAAGTCAGAGTTGCAGCTGTGTCCCACACCACGGAAGGATGCTGTATATCCGTGCATCATCCCCAAAGGGTAGGGAGCTCCTGAACCCCCTCTCCCACCCTCTTCTTGAGTTTAATTTTTTTCTCATGTAGGTCTGTGATTGTTACTCTGGTTTCAAATTGGTGTTGAGTGCTTCTGATGCTTATTTTTCCAATCTTATGATACTTAGGAGAATGTTCTCCCAATCTATTAGGGTTGCTGCAAAGGATGCAAAATCTCCATCTTTTTATGGCCGAACATTATTCCATGGTATACATATACCACAGTTAATTAATCCACTCATGTGTTGATGGGCGCTTGAGTTGTTTTCCACATCTTTGCAGTTGTGAACTGAGCTGCTATGAACATTGGAGTGCAAATTTCCCTTTGTGAAACATCTTTTTTTCATTTGGGTAAATGCCTAGTAATGGGATTGGAGGGTCAAATAGTAGGTCTACTGTAAGTCTCTTTTCTCATGTCTTATATTTAGATTCTTTATTCATCACGAGTTAATTTTTCTTTTTAAATTTTTTTTTAATTTAAAATCATTTGCTGTTATTTCCTGGCGATAAGTTTCAAGAAAATTTAATATGAATCTATTTATTTTATATATAAGTTCATGAGTCACACCCACATTATGACCCTCCTAAAAATTCTGTTAGGCATAGCAAAAAGCTGAAAAGGGCCACCTCCATAGGAGTGTTTATCAATGGACCCATCTTTGCTTTCCAGCTCCTAACAGAAACACCTGACCCGGCACCCACTGAGAAAATTCACCTTTGATTCAAAGATGTTGTTCAACAAGGATTATCACAGTTACACACCATTAGCCCACCAGATACGTGGTACATGATATGCTTTAGAAGTTCATAAATAACCCGACAGCAGCCCTCCTGGCTCACAGGCCCAGGAAACACCACTGGTATCATGAAGTCTCTTGAGCAAAAGGACTCCAAAGAGTTGGAAGTTTCCCAGGGAGAGGTAGTCTCAAGTAGTTCTGCCTAGGGGTCTTGGGTTTCTTCTAACTTCTCATGCCACTCCAAATCTCGGAGCCACTCCAAGCCAACTTCTCATGCCACTCCAAATCTCATGCCACTCCAAATCTCAGCCTACCGCAGGGAGCAT